ATTATTTTTTGTCTTTGCGCACGGGTCTACGACACATTTTTTCTATGGCTTACGGAAGAAATGGCGAGCACCCAACGCATCCCTCTGCCGCTGCCGATGGTGGCAGGTCGTTTTTTTTTTTTTGGCGGGGTAGCGGAGAAGACAACAAAAGATGGCTTGGAAAAAAAACACACACATACACACTCGCAGCTGTGGAGCTTGGCGTGCGCCAAAGCCAGCATCCGAGGAAGGGACAGCCGGGTCTTTGTGTGCTTGATATGGGCAGCCGTGTATTTTTAGGATGCATGTCAGCGGAAAAGCGTCGACTGTCGCGGGGCCTACGCGTAGCTTGTCTTCCACATATGCGCTGGTGACGGACAGCGGATTTTCTTTTTCGGCATCACGCCGCAACTAGACGTCGCACATCGCAGGTGCACTGCCGCAGCGTTTCTCGCCTTTTATTTTTTTGTGTCCCTCTTGCTCGTTGCCAAGTGGCCCTGTATAGAATGATAAACAGAACAAGCTGAGCTTAAAAAAAAAAAAAAAGCCTAGCGCAGACCCTCTACTCCCCCTCTGCCCTAAAAAAAAACGTCGAGCGCAGAACCTCTAGTCCCCCTCTGCCCACACATGCACGCCTGAGTAGCCCCCCAACAACAACCCTGGTACTTTCTCTTACGCATTATTTTTTTATGCGAAAGTTTCGCACTGTCCGCCAGTGCAACTAGACAACCACAAAAAAAAAACATCTCTGTCGACTTCAACCAGGCCTCTCGTTCGAACAGACCCGTGGATGCGAGCCTACTAGTGCGTCAGCAACGCTAGAACGACATCACGAGGAATGCCCTCCTTCCCCTTGCCGCAAAACATGCCCATAGCGGCTGCAAAACATTCCGCGCCGGCATTGGTTTCCTTGCCCAGTAGCCCCAATCTCTTGCGCCGCCAAGTATTGTAGATTGCTCCTAACCGTGCGCGCAAGCACGTACGGCACATTGTCGCCTTCGCTGTCCCTCGCCTTCTGACGGTCGAGCACATGCTGCGAGGGGGCGCGGAGAGAGGGGTGGGGGAGGGGCAGGAAATATGGTAAGTTTCAACAAATACAAGTGACCGCTCCCCCTGAGCAAGGTGGCAGGATAATTGACACCGCCTAATCCGTCTAATTACCTCCACCCACCGTGCGTACCGTCGTTTCATCTTGCACCCTGAGGTGAAGCAACGATGTCATCGTGTGGTATAAGATATCACCCCCCCCACGATATAGTAATTTCCAGTTCTTCAATGCCCTCAATAAAGGCACATTGGCGAGGCAGAAAACGTCGGAGTTGTAACGCTCTTGTGGACCACTTCCCGACACGTTTTGTTGGGACTACACACCTCTTCGGGCCCAGTGCGGGAGTGAACCTCTGACATTTGGTGCGGGGTGTGTGTGCCAAACGTTTGTGCGGGGGGGGGGCTGATATCTTGCGTGACACGGCGCGTATTTTTTTTGTATGCTCTCTTTGATTTTGCAGACTTTCTTTGGTCTTGGAGAGGGCATGTACGTTAGGGCCAAGCACCGTGCCACTCCTAACTCTGCATCCATGTGGCTGCTGCGTGCAACAGGATATTCCTGCGTTTCGTTCGTGTTAGAGCTTCAACATAGACTGCTTCTGTGGGCTGGGATAGAGCCAGCACGTACGAGAGAGAGCGGTTTGTAGGTTACAACTACAAGCATTCTGGTGTTACATGTTGGTTGCTGTACAATCCACGTATCGGCTTGACGGGAGGCTGCCCACCGTCTGATACACGGCCTTTCGTGAAAAAAGAAAGCCACTACACGTACCTGGATGGACACCCCAGCGATGATATGGGCCTGTTGGCGCCCACAGGTTGTAACCCCGCCCGGGTCGCCTTTCTTCCATTGCGCAAGGGGTGTCTGGCACCCGCACCCTTGCGCGGCCGTCTCCGCTTGCTCCCGTAGCAATGAACGAACTCCACCCGGGTTTTCCAGGGCCGTCTTCAGCAGCGCCGTCGCCAGAGGGGACTGCTTGGCAGCACGCGGGGGCTCGTCTGCCACGAGGGTGGCGAGCTCGTCGTCCAACTCTTCGTCTTGCGAACCCTCGCCATCGAGGCTAAATAGGTGCTGATGCCGTGGCAGCAGCTGCCCCCTGTCCTTCGGCATCACCGGCGACACCGCAAGCGATCTCGAGCCATGGATCGTCGTCCTCTACAGTGGTCTTAGCGCGTTTGGCCGTGGGCGCCTCGATATCAGACATCTGCCTTGCGGGGTACAATGGCAGGCTATGTGTTCCGAGCTGCTGTCTCTCGTGGTGCCGTGTGGATTCCGTGTGTATTTCACGCTGAAATCGACGCGATTTTTTTTTTTTCTTAATATGAAATCAGGGACTGAAATCACGCGCATACAATTGACGGAATCAGGGTGAAGTTACGAACCGGCACATGGCCGCCGATGAACACGCCTCACAGTCTCTCCACAGAACCAAAAAAATCCTATTGAAGTCAGTGCGGCCGTCACTTCTGCAACTAAACGCACGCGCTGAAGTTGTCATGGCAGCTGTTCGGGAGAGTAGTGTTGCGAGAGCGCGCTTCTTCTGCGCCGCGATGACGCCGCTCGAAAAACGTGGCACCGCGCTCGCCAGGTACACAGGACCTGTGATGTATTCCTGCATGCCTGCCCCTTTCTGCCATGTACATACTCTACAGTAGGCTGGGAGGGGTTGCAATGGTGCTCAAGTTTGAAGACCCCGCATTTCAACGTCCATACGCGGTTTGGGATCGACAAGGGGTTGGTGCGCTCGCCACTCTTCTCTGTAATGTAGAATGAGGGACAACCCGTGCGTCCCCCGCGACATGACCCAACTGCTTGGGGCGTAAAAATCAGCGTCGCAATGTCGCAATGCTTTTTTTCTTTTCTTTTTTTTCTTATTGATTTTGACACCTGATTGGGCGACGTTCACCGTCCCGCCGGAGTCGTCGAGTCGTCCCACCTGCTCCTGAAATCCCCGGGGGAAAAAATGCCGGCGTGCCCGCTCGACAAGCTGCCGCTACGCACTCAAGTCGGAGTTGCCTTCACACGTGGAAACATCTTGGACTTGCCGCATTGCGCTCCCGTGCTCCTCATCATCCTCGGCTTCTTTCGCCGTACACGCAATTCGTCCGTCGTTCGAACAACAGCTACAATGTTCACTCCTCCACAATGCTGCTGTATTTTTTTGTTCCGGATTTGGTGCGCTGTACATATAGAGCACCTATGCGCATTAATGCGCATGTATGTGAACCTTTCGCTGTGCTGAAGAGCCGAAACGAATGCCTCTTTAACGGTTACTCGGTCGCCAGTCGCCAGCTTTCTCTCGTTCGTCGTTCCACCCCACGAGCTCCGTTTCTACGTGTAGAAGGATACTCCACAGCAGCAAGCGCTTGTTGGTGGACCTCCGGTTTGTGTGTCTGCTACAGAGCAGGTGAAGATGTCTTGGTCACACTGTACCGCAAGCTAATGACGACGTATGTATGTAGTCTAGGCTTGCCACGGTTCTCAGTGGCCCACCAAGAGCGAGGAGAGACACCACGCCGTTGCCAGTAGTATTCTGTAGTAACAAGAGGCAAGAAGGCGCCGCGAGCACAAAAACATACTAGAGTTGCCCTTTTCGAAAGAGAAGGTGAATTGGTTCGACGGCCCTCTCATTGTTCGTTGTCGTGGGTCGTTGTTCTCTTCTTGTTGTGTGATGATTCCATGTTACAGTCCCGCAGGTGGACAACAAGGAGGGTGGTGAACGGTCGTGTGTTCTAGAGAGAAATAGAGGGACCGTACTTCTTGGGGGAAATAGCTGGTTTTGCAAGGCTTCATAGAGCTGGTGTTGGGGGGTTGAACAGTTTTTGTTTAATGTATGAAGCACCGTGCATACGCAGAGCTCCATACTCTGGGGCGGGCATCAGATGACAGCAACAACACCACGAAGTTTCATGCCCCCAACTGCTCGTTGCTGCCCATCTACATACGCCAATCTCCAGCTCGACGTCTATCTACCAGTCAATGTCCGACGAAGATGCAGTCCCGGAGAAGCATTTCATCCACACGCAGGCGTCGCACTTTGTCAAAGAGTTTCTGTTCTACGCGTACGGTGTGTAGGACTGGCCGTCGTCGACGATTATTTGACGAGAGCGGCCGGAATTCGTGTCCGGCACAGCGTTTTTCGAAGGATCTGTATACTGTATACTAGCCGCCTTTTTGATGGGGCTATTGCTCCCGTAGGACCGGGCTTCTACATAAATCAATTTTCACTTCGTTGTGTCGGGCTCTGTGGGCATCGATATGGCCAAAACGCATTATTGGGGGGATGCAAATGGTCCAGGGAAGAGGGTTGGCACGTCGCATAAATGATTCCCTGGCACAGGTAGGTCCAGGCGGTGCGCGACGGAGGGAGCGGGGTTGCTATACTACTGTAGTACTCTAGGAGAAGTTCATGCCGGCCAAAACAAAGATTTGAACAACGTTATACCGGCACATCGTCCCTCCGTTCATAAATGCGAATATGCGCAAGTTGTTGCGAAAAAGATTAGTCTTCTTTGTTGGAATTTGAGGTCGTGTGATGTGTGTCGAGGTGCTTACCCAACCGTAGAGCATAGCTGGATAATACACAGCGAACGAGACCGAACACATCCGCGATTCACAAGATTTTATGGAATCTTCGCTTGTGGCACCGCAGCCTGGTTCAATCGTGGAGGTCCGGAGAGATGGAATATATTGGGAAATGGTGGAGCTTGTTGGTGTACACAATACATGAAAAACTACAAGTGTCGCCAACTTGTTGGTGTTTCTTGTGAAGATTTTCTATGCACATTTAAAGCGGAAAATCGCACTCACTTGCATTTCACCAGCGATAAACTTTAATTTCCAACAACCGACATTTACAAGGATTGTTCTTTTCTTCTGCTCACTCACGTCCTACAGCGTACGTTGTTTGGTGTGGCTACTGTAGTAGCACAACAGTACTGTAGTAGCACAACAGAGCAAACACGCCGATGCCAGTCTCGCCTAAGCCCTGAATAAACAAACTATGTTTTCAGAACATTTCTACCTACATGCTCAATCAGTTGTTCGTATAACTTCCGCTCATGATCGTTGCATTGATCCGGCAATTGAATTTGAAAAGCAATGCGGCGCACTCCTCCACATCTTTACGTGCGTAGAAGTCGCGTCTACAACTCCGTAAGCTCGTCTTCCAACAGCGATGAAGGGATGAACTATTTACAACATCTACTGTAGGAACGCCTGCCTACCCGCTAATGTCATATTGTGTCTACCATCCTTGCATTCACTCGGCTTGCATGAAGTCTTGTACGAACGTACCTGCCGCACTTACGATTTATTCTTCCTTCTTTTGTTTCTTACGCGATTCAGAAGTTCCTGATTGTTCAGCCGTTTCGACTCACACTTATATGTAGCGTTAGCTTTTAAGCGTGCTGACGATTTTGTCGCCCAGCGTGCATCGTTCCTTTGCGATGAATTGCTACCATCCTTGCAACTGCTGTTCCTCGTTGATTTTGCTCTGTGGAGGCTTGTTTTCATCGCGCATCCCCCTGTATACACAGCACACCGTGCTCTCATCATTCCACTTGCGACGTATCGATTATTTTCGCTGGATGCCAGAGAACACCCAGACCCCCCCCATATCTCCCCTTCCCACGTGCTGCTTTCAGTATTCGGCGGCTACCGAGTAGTGGGGTGGGGACGAAAGGATATGTACCTACTCTTGCACGGGTATGGAACTGTTGTGCGTGGGTAGCTCGCCTTACAAATATGATTCCGTTCCCAAACCTTGTCTTGATACTTCATCAGCCCTGCTGTCCCCGCATCCATAACCAACCCTGTCTGAGCATTCTGAGTGCTTCTGCCATCGTTTTCTGGCGATGGTAATGACAACAAGCTGTCCCCCGAGACACCAAACGTTCTGCAACGATCTAACCAGTCACTCGTTGTCTCAAAACTCGGGAATCGTTTATGCTTGAAGAGTCCGACCCCATGTCTCCGACTTTGACATCGCAGTAAGTCTCCAACGATAGATCACTTGATGATGACTGATGAACAGTAGCCGATGTATCCCCGTTTTACGTGCTCCCCCGGCAATTCGACCACATTCATTTTCTCGGAGGATCCTTCCAATGCGGCTCGACACTGATCTCGTCGCATGCCTCTAACCAATACGCATACAGACCTGCCGCCACCGATTCACGAGTTCACATCCACCATCAAACTCGTGCGAGCACGATCCGCCTTTAGCTCCTTCGCACGCAGACCAAGTCTCTTGCCCTAGCCAGTTCTATGCCACTGACTACCGTTGGAGACTTTTGCATGTTCTCTCGCAGATTGGGCGCCACTTGACGCCCCCAGCGAAACTTCCAGTAATCTCACTCAAAGGTTTTCTCCTCGCGAACAGATGTTGTAGACTAGTACTTGCACATTTCTTTAGCGAAAGTGTACCGTAGGAATCCCGTGGAAGAATAGTATGGACATTAATACGGCCACCCACAACCAGTTCCACTGCAGTAATTGGGTGTACTTTGGGTTCGATAGGCGATCATCAACGTCGGACGGGTTGTTTTCCGAGCAGTCGCCTCGAGGTCTTCGCGAACAAAGCAGAGGCTACTGTAGACTACAGCCACTTCAACCACCGCAGAACGTATGATGCACGGGATATTGTGATCATGGTTCGTGTGGTGCTGAGGAGATTTCCACAAGGTCGAGCCAGCACGTACGTATTCGAAGGAATGACATACGTGCTGCACTGGTGCTGCCTTCATTATTGCATACCGGTGGCATCTAAGCCTAGCCTAGTATTTTCGAGGTCTGCGGAACTGGAGAATGCAGGGAGTTTGGGAATAGGACAAAAACTGAAGCCCAACTTTGGATATTCTCTGCATTTATTTCCAGCGGCGTAACCTAATCGTTATACTTCCTCTGTCACATAAAGTCCGTTATGATTACACGGCCATTTAGCCGTGTCCGATGTCTTAGGCGATACTTTTTTTGACATCTTGAGCGTTTTTCGGGTTGAAACCCGTATTTCATTTTTTTCTTGCGCACTACCCTGCATGCACTACTGTAGCGGCTTACAAACTGTCTTGTTGAGCCTGTTTTCCCGCAGGGGAGATGTCCCTATATGATGTCTGGGAAACCGTAGACATACAGGTACTTTCTGACACTATGAATTCATTGCTACTCTGTCTCAGACTCTTTTCTATGATAGAGATGGACTCGTTGTGTCATATTAAGAAAAGTAAAAAAAAAAAAAAAAGTAGCCAGGCCTAAAAAGGCCGTATTTTGCCCCTTTCCATGAGGGTGGGGGTGGGGGCACGAAACGAAACATACCAAAAAAAAGACAAGAATTATCCCGAACCCTAAACCCAAAGTTACCTCTACTCAACGATCCATTTCGCGTCCTCCCATACTAAAACCAACGTAATAGGGAACCCACACAAAATCAAGACATTTTCGAGGACCACACTAAAACCAAGACACTTGGGGGCGCCAAACTAAAATCAACTTACGTGCGGGGCAAAGCCGACAGGCGTAGGGTCCTAACCCTACCCCCCCCTTGTACTCAACGACCCATGTCGCGTCCCCCTATACTAAAAGCAGTATAATAGTGACCCTACACTTAACCCAAGACACTCGGGGGTTCTATAATAAAAACAAGATACTTGAGTTTACCTCACTAAAACCAAGACACTTGCGGGACAAATCAAACAGGCAAGAACCCTGACCTCATGCCTCCTCCTCGTCATTTGCCAGATAGTCCCAGGCCTTCGCGAAGGCCTCCTGGTCGTATTCAACGCCTCTTTCTAACGTCCCCGCCCTCTACCGTGCCGATACCCCGGTGTGCTCCACACTAAAGTCGTTGTCGCCCATCTTACGCAGTGTCTGGTTGTAAACCTTAAAGAGGCTCTGCCAAACCCGCTCTAAGGTGTCGCCGTCGTACTCCGCGTACTGCTCGAAGATAGTCTCCACCAACTCGTCTATCGAACTAGCGCTGCAAGGTCGAGCTCTCCGGTTTCATCGATCTGCGCTTTGCATTCCGCCCAATGCTTTCTGGGGTAATCACTACCAACGCCGTACCGCTCGGCGAGGGGGCCTAGAAAGCCCTTGGGACCCTTTCTTTGCCCGGCGGAATCGCCAACGCTATCTCCACCGCCATGGCGTACCGACGACCCAACGATACTTCCGCACCCCGCTTACGACGTGGGGGTGTCTCAGCGTCGTCCCCCATGATAGCTACGTCGTTGTGGTGGTAGTGGGTGCTCACACGGCACAAAGCTGCAAATATTCTTTCAAATGTTCTCAAAATGTTCTAAAAATATTCCCAAAATATTCGCAAAATAGTCCCATATTTGACACACTAATTCTCAGTAATTGTGAGTCGGGGTTTTTTTTTCTAAGTTATGTGCGTAACGAGCGCTTTCCAACAAATCTAACTAGAGCTTCAGGAACGCCTTGGCTGGTGAGGTACGTAAATTCCCCCATAACGGACTTTACTTATGTGACAGATGAAGTATACTGGATAACGCAGTTCAAACAACGTAGATATTGGTGCACGTGTTCTAGAAAGGACTCATGCAACGGTAGGGGTGCACGAATCCCTTCTGAGTTTCAAACGTTAGAAGCTCCATATGTCAGCCTGGAATGGACATTGACACAATATGAAAATATTGCGTGATAGGTAATCCGAAGGGCTAGATGAAACACGATTGAAATTTGAAATCGGAGTTGATATTCGACAATCGCTGGTTGGTTACTCATCTGAATAACAGAAGGTTCTGGGCCATAATGTGCTATCCCTATCGTTGCATGACTCAAAGAGTCCCCACATAGAGAAACGTGGAATTGTTGAGCATTGTCGCTACTGAATTTCAGCAGCCGTCGTTGTGATTTCACTCAACAATGAACTATGCACCCGCCGTCCCGTTAGACAAAGCCTCTCCTGACTTCTGTGGGGAACTCCCTGCCCACAGGAAACACTCCTCCCACGGATCTTCTCCAGCATGTGCCGCACGACGCCGAGCGTGCAGACGTTCTCAGCCTCGGCTGCAGTGACCTTCGAGATCTACTCTACTCTATCCTTCTGCATGGTAGGCGAGGTGTCAGGTGCGGTCCGGTGCCGCGTCAGCTATCGTTTACATTGAACGACTGGGAGCCCGCCATCCATGCCAGAAACCTCATGCTCCTCCAGATGATCCTCGACTCCCGTGGCCTGCTGAACGCTGAGGCCGATGGAGTGGACGACGTCATTCGCGGAGTGGACACCGTGGCTGTTGATGCCGGCTCGGGCGACCGGTCCATTCCGGAGGCGGCAGGCAAGTCGGTGGGCAAGAAGAAGGCGGCCAAGACGAAGACATCGGGCAAGACCGCTGACAAGCCCAGTCTTCACGGTGCGGCATTCGCCCAACGGATAGGCGTGATCTTCAGCGCCATGTACAACATGTTTGTGGACGCTGACACACTGAAGATGGTCCACGAAGTCGCCGGCACGCTGGCGGGCTCGGCCGCATCCCCCGCTGAATGGGCTTCGACCGAGCTTGGACAAATCGTCCGCTTCGCCGACGACCGCAGTCAAGACCGCGTGCGCGAAATCTTGACCAACTACACCGACGATGGGCTGCAGGAGCCGAGAGTGTTCACCAGGATACGGCAGGAGAGGACAGCTTTCCTCTACACCCACATGGGCAAAGACACCAAGCCCGAGATTTGGTCTCGAGCCATGGGCCTGGCTTCGTTTTGCCAAGGCGAAGGCATCGAGGCGAACGCCAAGATGAGGCGTCATTGTGAGAGACGATACGCGGCTTATCCTCGTTGCAACCTGGCGTACAGTGTTTGTGAAGCCGCCCATAAGTTGCTTCTGGAGAAGTCATCTGTAGAATGAACGAAGCATGCAACAAATAGATAGAATATTGAACCACTACTGTTTCTTGTTCACCGACGACACGATCTCACCTTTGCTGCAACTCTTTGCCTCAATTTAGACCTCCGGGAGGGTATCCTCGACCCTTTCCCACTCCTGCTGGAAGACCGGGCACCTGCCAAACGCCGGGGTCCGTGTAGAAAGGTCAACCCCATGTTGTTGGTGACGGAGAGGAAAGGCACGGCGTCCAGTCTTCACTACGGAGCTTTCCCGCTCGATGCCTTCCATACCGACGGTGCGGCAGGTTGTAAAAACACATTGCAATGTGCCTGCAACAACCAAGAGTATCTGTCTCATCGATAAATAGTGTGGCGAGCTGCAAGGTCGTACTGTTCTCTTTTTTCCACAATTGCGTTCTTCACATCACAGTTCACCCAATCATACGAGCGCCTGAAAAATATAGTATGTGTTGTTGGCTGTGTCTCGCCGACCGATGTGTTGTACAACACACAGAGTAAAACCCCCTGCTGGTTGTCTCACTTCGTGCCGATGTACAGACGCCACAAGTATGGGGCCCGGCCTGGCGTTCTGATGGGAGACGATAGTCGAGCATCTTGAAAGTCTATGGTAGAATGGCACCTGGCGCTGATCAAAACGTTTTTTTTACCTACTGTTTTGAACATGCTAGACATCCAATGATGAGTCTACTCACTGTATGAGCTAAGCACTGCAACCTCCGCAAGCAGATATATGAGGGATCTCTCGGTCGCCAGGCGGTTTAGGAAATTCTGACACACTGAGCAAAAACAATGATCGTTCTGCCCGGCGAGGGTGCAAGGTGCTTTGGTTCCGGTCTTGTTCGATCCCCGTTATATCTGTGGTTTCATGCCGTTTCGCACATCACTCGACTTTCTCCCCCTTGTCGAGAAGTATCGTGGTGGAAGCTGCGTCCGGAGCGCCTTCAGGGCGACTTCGGCAAGCTCTCGCCAAGGGTGACCAAGCATCTCGAGGCTGGCGCCCACAGCGGCCCAGGCGAGCCGAAGGTAGCAAATGCCTTACGCCAGAACGCATGGTTCGGCACCGCCCTGGAGGAGCTCGCCCAGATGTGCGGTGCATTTTTGGCGGCGACTAGCACTTCGGTGCCCAAGGCAACACCCCACCTGGACATCACTATGCAAGTAGGGGATGCCCTGAACTTCTGCGACGCCCTCCTGACTGCTTCTCCATCGATGGGGACCGCGGAAGACTGCGCAACTAGTGCGGTATTTGCACCAATCTCCTTCCAGCAAGGGTCGGTGCAGCCGCTGCACCTCCGGGCAGGCATTTTCAGTTACCCGCCACAATTTGACGTCATCAACACCAGCAATCTTGCGGAGCACCTCGGTGAGTGCTCACATTTGCATCCAGATAGTCGGAGCTGGTGGTGGTCAGCGAGATGGCGGTTTGTATTCGTAGTTCCTTCTCCAGATGGGGATGCACTCGACGGCAGCTTGACTGTCGCCATCGTTGAATACACCAATCACGGACCTTCCATGTGGTTTCGTTGAAGGAGCTCTGCTGCTGTAATTCTAACTTCATGGGTTGGACTCGCTTCTCAAACCTCAGGCACGGTCAACGTTTTGGTGGCTTCTTCGCCGCTCCTGAAGACACTGCCGCACGCCGTGCTTCTTACAAGCCTTTTGGCATCGACGGCAACCTTGCACCTGTACGATGGTTTAGCTGACTTCCAGGCGAAGCTCTTATGCATGAGCTCCCACACCGCCGGGATCTTGCTCGGTGAGTATTCACTTACCACGCGTTCGTCCAAGTATCAAAAGAGTTCACGCTCTTGTTTGCGTGGCCATCGTACATTGTTAGTGTAGTTGTTTGCAGGAAGATTGAGTCAGAGAAAACGTACTCTATTGACTAACATGTAACCTCTCGTGATGCAATAGCACTTTTGTTTTTCTAGCGTAGCTTATATCTAATATGGATGCACCTAACACAGAGGATGTAGGAATGCGGCAGAGGTACGAATATTCTCCTGTTGCGGAGAATCTATGTGGTGAGAAAGACGCGTTTACTTCGGCAGTTCTCCGGTTCTGAACAAACAGCCCAAAAGCGACAAGTTTGAGAGTCGCCTGAGGGTGGTGAAGTTCTATTTAGGGCACCTCGCCGCTTTGGCTCTATCACAGGTGTTGTACCCGTATCGAGCCTTTCGTCCGTGGTGGGACATGCGGACACGATGGCCTTCCTGTCCGGTACCTTACCTACCCAACAAGACGGGTCTTCGGGGTCATCATCCACGCAATTGCGGCTGATGTGGAAACGGCCATCGTCGGATCTCACGTCACCCATGGTGAGGCGACATGTATGAAACATTGATCCGACCACAACCTGTCTGCAAGACCGGAAGACTTACCAGTGATATCCAGCCGGGGACAAAGAAAGGAGCGCACGGTGTATATGCATTCGAGGATGGTGGATATGTATAGGCAGGAGTTTGGAAGATCGTGTTGTGAGACAGCTTTGTGGCCTTGGACATATTTGTGCGGCGAGTGCCGTAGAATCTACATAGAGCAAGAAGTAGGTATTGGATCATTTCGTATGCTAGCGGGACCCTGGTTTCGTGCTCTCCTTGTGCCTCGATTATGCTGATTGAATTATCTCGTTGCTACTGCTCCAGCCTGCGGCAGCCTCAGTGGATGTCAGCCCAAGCGACTTTGCCAGCCTTACCCTACCGGTCTACAAGGCTATGTTCTCCCACATGCCAAACATGTCGATGTTCGGGCTCGACGACAAGCAGCTCCTCCTTTCTGCGGCGACCAACAAGTACTTCACGTCGGTCTCATTTGCGCGTGTCTTAGCCTTGGCTGGCCGTCGGTTGCGCCTGGGGTCTGCTCACTTTGAGGCGGCACGGGTTTCCATCTTCGAAAGCAGCGGATTGGTGCTGGCCCTGAATCTTCGGCAGGAACAGGTAGGCCCACAGCAAATATGGTTTGCAAGAGCGGATATTCATGTGAACTTGCACCCCTGTACCAGTCACACTTGAACTGTGCACTACCTAGCACCGTGCGGGAAAAGATGCATCGTCTCCAGAAAAGATTATGGCGCACGCCCGGTCATAATTTCACCGCGCAAAACTTTGCAGGCGTGGTCTAATTTGCTGTTCGTGGTGCTCCCTCCTTTCCTCCAGATGGCTGTATTTCAAGCGATGGGACTGGCACCTATCCGTCTGCCTCCTCACTTGAGGCACAACTCCCCCGACGCTCGACGTATCGCTCTCTTTGTGCCGACGTCGGGGCTCATCCTCCTACGAGCATTTCGCCTCCCAGAGGTCTTCCTGTCATTGACGGGAGTGTACGCCTCCTTCGACAACATTTTCACCAGTGTGCACATGGCCTTCGTCCGGGTTCATCGTGGAGGTGGTATCAACGAAGAGAACGCCCACGGCTGGCGGTCCCTGAACAGCCACCTAAGTGTGCGCGACACCCGGGAGGATGACCCTGAAGCGGAACTCATGGTATCCGCTTTGGTGCCAACTTTCGACTCCTACCGGGCAAGGCGGTGGCTCAATCGCAAAGCTCAGTTGTCCCCTCCAAGTCGTGACGGACCGGCGCCAAAGCCAATCGCCACGCGTGCCGGTGCTCCACGTCACACAGACCGTTCTCCACCATTCTACCCGTAGCGACTTCGTGGTCGACCACTCCATTGAGCTCATCCGCGACGTATGGATGATTGAAGGCTCCGGTCTGGTCTACAAGGTCACTCTGCGCATGGCAGATGATGGGGCAAGGGATGTGCTGGCTGCGGGTGGTGCGGCGGTGGATGAGAAAGCGGGAGGTCTCTGCTCGGTGTGTGTCAAGCTTGGGGGGAGGTTTGGGCACTTCACGCACTTCCCGTTTCCCGTCAAGAAGAGCGCTATCAACCTGAAAGTTAGCAAGCGCCAGGGCCACGCTATCTTCACGGTACCGCCTAGTGGAAGCCCCGCCCAGATCCCAGTGACTGCGCTGGCGGGCCTGCCGTCGAGCTTGTTCTGGTCACCTTGTGTCCCTCTGGCATCGTTGCCGAGGTTAGACTTCCAGGCGGAGTGGACTCACGGGCAGGTACGAAAAAATCGAAGTCCATATCAAAACCCGTTGCGTCAAGCGGTAGTGCGGTATTTCCGTGCATGTGTTGCCTGTGTATAACCCTTGGAAAATCGACGAGTTTTACCAACCCACCGAGTTGAGCAAACTGAGATGGCGACAATGCCTCTCCTCGCGAAGTACAAGGTCGGCCACGTTAACGTATTTCCTCTGTGTCCCGCACAATATGCGTGCAGGTCATGGGGGGCATGTCGATCATCAGGGGAAAGAAGGGCGGACATGACGCCGCCTCCCGCGGCCTCAAGGTAGTATTTCGGTGTGATCGTTGTCTCTTGAATTTGGATTTGCAGGCTGTTTTTCTTGTCGCAACCGTGTTGCAAGCTCATGGTGCGCTTCTGACTCGTCGAAATAAGGAAAGGAAATCAAGGGTATGGGTTGTCGGAGGTACTAAGCGGAGATCTCAACGGTTTTCATTCAATGTGGACGGCAACGTAGCAACAAGGACACCACGGGTCCGGCATGCAAAAGTATTGCCTGGCCAGCAACATCTAAGCATGACCGGGCCAAACATAGGTCAAATCCGACCAACTGCACTCTCTTTGTTTCTGTATTGTTGCGTTCTGCATTCTACGAAAAGGCCTGCCCACGCACCTCGTCCCCGTGGCCCGGAGCTACAAGTCGTTTCTAATATTGTTTCCAATGTTCAATTCACCGGGTGGCATGGGAGACCATAGATAGGGCAGTTCCGCCTGCTTCCGCAGGAGAAATCACGTCTGAACGACGTATGTACGCATAAATTTGGCTCTTCCTGCAGAGGTACGGCACAAAACATTGTCATTGCTAGGGAAGTTCTTGCCTTCAAGTTTGGGCCAATCAATATTGTTGGTTACGTACACCCGCAGGCGAGAGTGGTAAATCAACCCATTGCGTGCAGAATACCCAGCGTTTCCTGCACACTTCCTTCCCCCATAGGAGAGCGTCTTGGCCGTAGCTTCCACAGTCTGCTCACGCCACGTCGAGGACGGGCCAGGGTGGGAACACCCGTGAGTATGCATTACAGACGGCAACGATATGGACCAGCGTGCTCTATGGGTATGGGTGAACGAGATTCTCCTGGACTCGAGCAATGAGGCGCTCGTCCTCGACTGTTGCGTCATGCTCGTGGATCGCTTCGGAGGCGCAGCTTCCACCCAGCTAGGCGCCGCCATCGAGCTCGACGAAATTCACGGTGGTGCGGGGGTTTTGTTCGCGAAGGTGAGATTCGCGGCATCAATGAACTTGCAGCATCGGGTGAATGAGCGTGCTCCCGAACATGTGCCGGTTGTTGCTGCAGATGGGAGGCATCTTGCGAGAAATCTGCGGGCTGGCCTTACATGATGAACACAACGCGCCCATGTGGCACGTACACCATCGACGTACCCCGGTAATTCGGGAGTAGGCGTGTTCTACTGTTGCCAGATACGTTCACCGCTTTGTTTGTAGCGGATCCCGAATCCGTCGAAATTACCAGTATGTAGTATTGACCTCAATATTTGCTCGGTTCCACCAGAATTGTTATTGGGGTCTACTACAATATACCACCCCAAATCCCAGTTACGGTTTTGCTAATGAGGGTTCTGTGGAGAAAAATTGGGGGAAAGTATATAGAACGACTGAGCAGGGGGCGAACTATTAGTTGGACCGAGTCCGGCGGAACGTGGGCAGCATGGTCATCAAGTGATGCATTCGTGATGAGATTGCAATATACGTTTGGTCGTGAGGATTGCCCCCCACATTCCGCCTGCAACAACTGTGTTTCTCATACAATTAGGTCTTGCACGAGATGGAAAGTTTCTTGGCCACGAATTTTTCGAGCTCATTCTGCCCGTTTCACTTTCCCGGGACCCTGGATTATTTACAGAGTTATCACGGGGAACTCGGTCTTTGGACCACATTGCTTCCAGTGGCTGTCGAGCGAGCTCGGCAAACCTACGCTCACGCCGCCGACTGCACCCACGTGGGGGCCGAACCGCCTTTGTCTCTTTGCGGCTGCGGCAAGGCCAAGGACCTTCCTTTGCCGTTCGTGGAACGCATGAAGAAGTCGGTCAATGCTGTGGGAGCGAGACTGCCTCTACATTCGCTGTTCTACAGAGCAGCGCTCTCCCCGCTGTACCTTCCACTCGAGAAGCACCCTATGATGCTGAACGAGAAGAAAGCGCCCAAGGCGCCCCACACATCATCGTGTGCCAAATGCGGGAAGGCAGGAAACTTCTTGCGGTGCGCGCGATGCCGCCGTGTCGTCTACTGTTCCAAGAAATGCCAACGCGAAGACTGGAAGACCCACAAGTCTGGCTGCGGCTGAAAGTGTGTTTCGTTTCGGCGCTCAGAGTAGCAGACTTTATGTCCCGTTTTCTTTGTTGGGGGATGGCATGCAACTACTACTGTGGGCTCAATCCGCCCTCCCTGCTGATTCGTCAGTACCTTGTGTAGTATTTTCCAGCTGCCGTGTTTTCGTTGACGCTTGCTTCCAAGGGATTCAAGTCAGGGGTGTAACCTTTTCGCGGTTAGTGGTTGGAGATGTAACGTACGGAAAAGCAGACAGCATAATCTACATAAATGTCTACATAATATTTCGGTGGCAGGTGTTGGGCTCACCCCCAAAAAGCATTTCGAAAGTGTCTTCGTGCTTCTTTTTTTTGTGCCGTTCTCTTGGTCCACAGCGCACACGAGTTAATGGTTTTAACGAGGACTGGCACGTCAACTGCAGGCTTTGCAAATCGTATCACGGGCAAATGAATGTTGACGGCATCTTCTGTAGAATATTTCGACGATAGGAAACAAGTTCGATGCGCAAATCATTTCCTGGTTATGTCACTGGAGGTATTGCGCGAGCAAGACGGGGGCTACCACCCGCGGTTACAGTACTTGTAACACGAGCGGCAAAGTGGCATCACTGCCTGAAGGTACGAAAGCTTGAAAACAAAGGTTGGAGGACTTGTCACGAGGTGACACTGTGGAATGGGTGATTGAAGATGTGCTAGAAATGCGTACATGATGATGTTTCTCGCTTTTCGATCTTCTCGTCATGAACAATTGCCGCCGCGTTGGTGTACAGTCCGTCTCCTTCAACGACTCACGACGAAACGGGGACAAACAATGGACCCCTCTCGTTGCATGCTCTCTTGCTATACCTTGGTTCATTCCTGCATGAATGCAGCCATGTATCCTTCCTACTGCCCATGGCAGGAAAAAACAAAATAGATTCTCGGATATTTCCCTATGCGAGACCTATACCCACAGGTTTGATTGATTATCCTACAGTGAGTATTCCTAGGACCATGGAGGCGATTCAGGAGTCACAATTGCCCAACAGGCAAACACACACCCAAGCTACATATCGACTGGGTACCGGGCCTTAGACTTCTAAGTCCCAGTTGTTAGGTTTCATACTCAAATCATCCCACCCACGCCCTCATGTCTTGTACTGCGTAGTTTACGCGTTTGTTACCGTTCTCCTGCTCGATAGTCCTTAATGTGATATTGCCTCCCGCCGTTCAAGGCGTATTCTCTAGTTCGTTGTCGTGAAGTCGTCGGCCGATCTGGGGGGGAACTTGAACAAAAGTACGAATAGGTAGAAGCCCTTCTACGTATAAACAGACAAGTCCAGGTTGTGCCCCCTACCTGGCATACGTGAGCAACACAAGCAACCACGGAGCAACGACACGTGGTTTGCCCACGGAGGTGAAGGGGGCTTTGCGCAGAACGACGGGCTGCAACCAGCAACTCGTCACTCGCTCACGTTGCAGCTACTGTCAGCGCACGCACCCAAGTCAGCCGCAGGCAGCCTTGTGGATCTTCCAGTGTTGGCGTTGGCACTCCTTGGAACAGTAACTGACCTTGCGGCAACGCGTGCACTGCAAGGATTTCCCCCCGATTCCACACTTGGCGCACTTGGGAGGCCCGGCGACGCTAGCCGCGGCCATCTTCGCCACTGTGACGAACGAGGACGTGCCCGGAGGAGCATAAAGCGGAGAAAACGCTGCCCTGTACACCGACGGGTGTACAGGCACTCGCGCTCCCATGGCATTGGCCAACTCTATCGAGTGCATGCACTCGGAGTGCAGGTCCTTGCCTCTGCCGCAGTCGCATAGAGCCAAGGGGGCATCACTCGGCGAGGCGTACGTGCAGTCAGCAGTGTGAGCGTATGTCTGCCGGGCACGCTCGACGGCTACAGGCAGCAATGCCGTCCAAAGCGCGAGTTCGCCGGGGTAGGCCTGCAAACAAGGCAAAAAGCAAGTTGGGATATACTTCTAGTTGAAAACCGGAAGCTGGGGTGGGTGCGCGGTGCAGGTATGCAACGAGATGTGCCCACAGGACTCCCTACTGTGGTTTTGTGATTGCTTCAAGCGGGCAACCGATGCATGGTACATCACCTCTAAACCTTACCTTCGAGGCGACAAAGCTCGGGCCATCTTGGAGTTCAATGGTCTCCCTGAGCTGGGCAGAAACTGGATCGTCCATGCGAGCAACCGGCATGACGCAGCAGTCGAGAATGAGCGCCTCGTTGCTGGAGTCCAGGAGGATTTCGTTCACCCACAACCAGATCGCGGGTTGGTCAAAGCGGTGGTTGTCGGAGATGCACACCCATGGGTGCGTCCACACGGGTAGTTCGTCCTGGTGATGCGTGCAGGCCATCGAAGCGATAGCCATGAAGCTTTCCTGCAAGAACATTGATTGGCGTTGAGAGAAACGTTGGTCGTCAGTCAAGGAGGGCACCGATGCGTGAATCTCACACAAATGGGTACCAGGGGCGTATGGAAAGACAAAGCGTACAGCATCGCCCCATGCAAAGTTTCTGCACGTGAATACATACCCACCTACGCTCATGCCGCGCGACAAAAGAAGACGGCGTGTTGCACATAGAACCACCACGAGAAGGTGCCGGGGTGGCGGTTTGTCACGTGGTACCACGAGTCCATCCACGTATGTGTGGTCGAAGACGATGACGCCCATGAATACTAGCTCTCGGTCAATCAAGAACAGGTTTGAACTGTGGAAAACAATTGACCTCGCGAGCATGTAGTGCCTACGATTCAGAATGGGCACATGGCAGTCTAAATCTCGATTGAACCCACGAGATTCTTCTCAACACATCTCCGCGGACTGAATCAAACGACTCGCCACAAAATCCAACGCGGTAGGTTGATGGACAGGTGTGACCTATCCCTACAGTCTTGGTAGTTGCAGATAGCCGTAGCGACAGTATCAGCATTGGACAGAGCAGCTGTCCATGAGCCCACACCCTCCACGTTGCACTCCGTAGTCGTGCATATGGTTGGCAGATTGTCGAGAAAGGAAGGGGGGGGGGGGGGGAAGAGACGTACACCACACGCCGTCTGATGCGGAAGCACCTCGTCGCATTGTTTCCCAATAGAAAGCGACATTTGCCAGTTCCCAGGAAGCACAACAACACAGGCACAACTACGACCTTGAGCGGAAACGTCAACACATGGTGATTTTATACACGTCCTGTTCCCGTCTACAAGGGGGCCTTAGTCTTGTCACGTAAAATACTACCATCTCAAACTCACAAGAATATTGAGCATGGACTCAAGATGCAAGCGTCAGCCTAGAGGGGAAGAGGCCGGGCATTCCTGCGTGTTGTTCCATGTGTCTCGCGGATTTCATAGCGCTCCTTCGGGCACTGTATTCGGTGTTTTCACTGTGAAACCCTCGCAAACAACTTGTATACTTTCATAACGGATGCAGTAAACGTTTATGCCGATGGTTTCTGCGATAGGAACGCCCACCTTCAACCCGAGGAGTGCCGGGTCCACCCCGCCCTTCTTCTGTGTCGTGGCTTCATCTCGCATCAGCACTTCAGCGTGGGTTAACGAAAACTCCCCCATGACCTGCGTGAAGAGTATGGATTAGGAAGACTAACGTTAACCGCAAATGGCGTCTTCTTCCCAGTTTTTACGGTGGGTGGTCTTGGTACAGATACATACACGATTCGGAAATACTTATTATTGCGCTAAACCTTGAGGCTTTTGCTCTCTAACGGAAACCATAGAAACCTTTCGGACGAAACGCATTCTAAACCGCAGGTATCTCTATGTACTGTACCAGTGGAGGTTCCCTAAGACCCAACTTGTATCGATGATACCCAATTAATCGAACGGTACGGTCCTAGTGGCACAAGAAGGAAGTACTCACAACCGGGGTACCCCCACGGTTTGCAACCATGTCCAATGCCTCCCAACAAGGTACCGGATTGGAAATTTTCGGCTAAGAAGGCCAGACCGCAGGATAGGAAAATTCATACTGCCTGGAACGGATTGACTTGATACATTTCTAAAGTTGCAGGACGCAGGAGAGAGATGGGCGTTCAATGATGGACCATCATTGTACGATTCTCCCGCCCAAGCGCGCGGTCGCACCATTCCTCCGCGCGCCTTCAACTCGAATACACCAAACCCGCGGTTCAACCACACTCTCGGATGTTCCTCACACGCATGTACAGCCCACCTTGCGGTGTATCCACTCGGCCTTGAAGTCCAGCCTCGGCAGAGACGAAAGCGGGGCGCACGGCGGCCAGAAAACCGTCGACGGGATGGCCCTGTGGCCGGCACCTTCGGTGTTGCTGTAGACCGTCAGCGAAAACGGGGCCTGGAGCGGACCCTTCAGAAGCGGAGCCGTTACGCACAGGTAGCCTTTGCTTTTGCTGAACTTGATCTTCATTGCGCTCCTCTTGGCCACCGGGAACGGGAGGCGGGCGGTGTGCCGTAGCCCTTCCTCCAGCTTGACGCGGATCGAGCAGGGGTCGCGGCTCAGTTCTACGGCGGGTGCCCCTTCCGCCGCCGCCAAACGGGCTCGTGCATGGTCGTTAGCCATCACCAGAGTCACCTTGTACGCCAACAGGACGTCACTCCCCCGTCCCGCTTGATTGATCAGCTCAACCGACTGGTCAATGGCCGAGTCGCCGTGAAGAGCCCGGTGAAGGGCCGCAGCCTCGGAGGTGCTCTTGCGCACTAGTTGCGCGGAATACGCCGATGTGGCCTGGTCGGGAATGCAAGCCACGCCAATCTGAGGGCAAGCAAGAGGTGGCGGTGATTCAGCTGCCATGACGGACTTGCCAGCTTCGCCAGGTGTCAGGACTGCCACCCGATCGGCGTCCGAAATACCCGCCTTGTAGAACACTTTGTGGTCCCCGCCCAGCCTCTTCTTGATGTCCTTCGGCGCATTAATCACCTCGATACTTTCACGCGGCCGCAGCTGCAGCTCCGTCACCGACGGGACGGCTAGCACCAGTGCGATCGTCGGCAGCAAGGCGGACACCATGAGCTCCGCTTCGGGGTCGTC